CTTAAATATAAACAGTTGCACCTAAGCTCTGCCTTGATGTTGGAGAGTTAGGGTGGTCTCATTATACTTAAGAATCCAACTTTTAAATTGCATTTCATTTTACTTGACATTCATTAGCATATATATGTTAACGTATTATCATTGATAATTATCTGCATTATTCTCTCTTTAATTTTTATTTTCTATTTTATGATAAAATATTTTATAATAAAAAAAGAATAATACTTTTTAAATTTTTTTTTGTGATATTATAAAATAAAATAAAAATAACATTTCAAAAGAAATAATTCTTAATATTCTGCCTAGATGTTGTAAAGTCATTAACATTTATCTTCTATAAATATTGTTATTTCATTTTAAGGATTATCGTGTTAAATCTTAAGTGAAAAGAGTTATTTTAAATTCTACCTAGATATTAAAGAATTTTAAAATAATTCTTTAACTTCAAAATTTTCTTAATATTCCTAAAGAAAGAGCTTTAGCAAAATTTTATTTTTTCAAATGAAGAAAATTACTATTAAATTTCAAGTCAAAACCATTTTTATCCAACACCGAAAATAATGTATAATTAAATGGTACCAATTTATGGGCGTTGTGGGAGTGCTAATGCTTCTCCACATGTAACCGACTCTCGAGCTTAACTTAATTTTTTATAGATCAAAATTTATCTTTTTGATAAATTTTAAACTTGTTTTTATAGTTTTATTAAAAAGATAAACTTTTTGGTGACCAATCACACCCTAACAAAGATTGGTGACCACTCTCTTATTTACTTTAATTTTAAAACTCTTTTACGTCTGACGGTCCTAAAATCATCACAACATAAATGTATCAATTATGTTTAGAACGGTGTTAATAAAGAATTAACTGGTATTTACAGATATATTATTAAAAAAAATACACAATACACATAGTTGATTAAAATTAAAGAAATTCTATCCCTATTATTACAAAAATACAATTCATGAGGGCTCAAAAAAATAAATCAAATCAAATGCTTGTATGTCAACCCTTCTACAAAGTACGAGAAAATAGAATATTAGATTTTTAGATAATAATATATTACGTATATAATTAATTATAAATATAATGCATATTTTATTATATATTATTATATTATTAATATTATTACATGTATTTATTATTTTTAAACTAACATTACATAAATAGCCAACCTAATTATATAAAGCATAGTAAACAGTGGCAAACTAAATGTTTATTCATAGAAATTAAAACATGCTCCTCATTATAGAATCTCAGCAATCTCCCTTAATTAGTATGGTTTATTTTAGAAGTTTGTTTCTGGACTCTATGTCTTACAGCCATGTTCAAGACCTCTGTTATGAAACAAATCAAATTTCTGGTTTTTCTTTGTCTTTTTGGCTTCATATACATATAAATACAAAACTTGAAAACTTTTGTTTGTGGGTCTCGGTTCATAAATGTGCGTCATAATAAACCAGATGATGACATGCAGCAGATAATTCTTATAATATAGTAATTGTCAACTGATGTTTGCTTAATGGTTGGCTTGCTGGCATCAAGTTGCCCGTTTATATCTTCATCATCAATAATTTCCCTTAAGAAATGGTCCGTTCCTTTTTTTTCTTTTTTATTTCAAGGGGGCATAGTCTTAATTAATAGAGGAGAGAGAATGATTGGGACCGAACCTTAATTTTATATCTTCTTTAAAATTTATTTAACCATTAAATCAAACATCTTAAGATCCGTTCCTTCTTTTCATTCACATTCGATTGTCGGTATAGTGTATAACTACTAAGGATAGGTCATGATTACTTCATTCATCCCCTTGTGTTCTGGCAGTTGTTCTTATCCTGCAAGAATATGCTTTTACTGTTTGCCTTTTAGCCATTAAAAGAATTAATGTGATGAACAATCTGATCAATTCGATCAACAACCGATGAGTAGACTGTTAAATAAAATATGGGGTTATGGGGAGCTTCTTAATGGTATTTCACTTCATAAACTAAACAATATTCCTATAATTTATCCTAAAGGTAAGATGTCAATTAATTAGATGATCAATGGTTTTCTATAGAAACCTAAATCATATACTGTTATCGTAGGATATGCAATATTTCCTGCCTCTGCTTGCCAAACTCCACTAAAAAAGGTCCGCTGTTATTGGCTAATCAATGTCAGCCTAAAAAAACTTTAAAATTTTAATATAATAATAATAATAAAAGATTTTAAGCTGACTGTTGCAGGACCCAAATCAATACAATGGACTGAAGGGCTTGTTCAAATGATCAAAGATAAAAGTATTGTACAAAAGAATTTAAGAATTTGGTAATAGTATGATATTTTATTATATAAAAATTCATCGTATCTTTAATTAAATTTAAATATTAATTTTAATAAAATTTATTTAATATAAGTTTTTTATTAAAAATTTTTTTAATCATAATTATAATAATTTTTATTTATTTTAATCTCATTAAAATTAATATCATAATCGATCCAAATGAAACCTTAAAGTAAAAAGAATTATTGATTTTCCCTTATTCATAAAATTTTCTTCTTAACCAACCCCTTGCCGATTTAATAGATTCCCTCATTTTCTTGATGTATTAAATCGGCATTGAAATTTTATGCTTGGTTTCGCTTTCTGTTTTCATTATTACTTTTTTCTCAATCTAAAGATTAGTAATGGACCCTGATGATGATGGTTATCTTCTTTCTTTATATATAGAAGTCATTTCAACATTCCCAGGTTCTTAATGCGGTTTTGCTGCTTTCCAAAAATTACTTGGTTTGCTTTTCTAAGAATTAAAAAGTCATCGGGTGCTGATACATCAACTTCATTGTTAATATAATATTATATAATTTATATATCTTATATAAATATATAAAAATTAAAACCTTTAACATAAAAAAATCTTATATATATATATGTATATATGGATAAACTATATTTTTTACATGTGGAATATTATAGGTAAATATCATGTATTATATAATTAATAAATTTCATTATATAATTAATTTTAAAATAATTTATTATAACTATATTAATTATATTTAAATATCAATATTCTTACCTCCTATAAATTAGCTATAATTAATTTGATCATTAATTCAAAAAAATCAAAATTTAAATAGAACGCTAATTAATTATAAATAAATTTTGCATATTTGTTATTTGTTATTTATGATTATATAAACATATTAATTTGTTAAAACAATTTAATATATATATATAGATAACTTCAACATATTAACTTGAAAAAAAACAAAGTAAGTCTATGTATGTAGTGTAATTTTTTGTACATGAATTGTGCTAAATGATGTCATGTATTTTTATCATAATCAACAATTTAAATTTCAAAATTAAAATTACAAACTAATTTAATCTTTAACATTTTTTCAATTATCATCCAAAAAATATTGTTAACTATTCAAAGGCTTTAATTTTAGTTTTTTTTTTAACTTTAAGTATGAATATTTCTTTCCTTTTTTTTTTATTACACTAAAACTCTTACTAGCCATTCAATAGCTTTAATTTTGTTTTGAATTCTCTAAAATTATTTATGGTTACGTCACCTTAATTTTGAATGTTTGATTACAAAAATTAAAAAAAAAATTGATAGGTCAAATTATGTATTTAAAATTTAAACTCTATAATAATATGTAATTAAGGAAGACGAAAATTTTTCATAATAACACATAATTGGTTGATAGCTCAATCCTTGAGATTCACATATATAAATATATATATATATTGTCTACATATATAATAGTGATATGATAAATTTGACACATACAACAATCTTTGTCAAAAAGTTTTATTCGTATCTACTCTTTTTTTCTCTTGATACATTGCTTAAATAATGGTACAATTTTTTTAATATTTTATATTAATTTTTTACATTTTCTAATAAGTTCTAAAGGGATGTTGTAAGATTACAACTTTATGAGTATTATTGTTTTTTGTGACATGTTCTTTTATTTTTATTTGGTATTATATTTTTGTAAATATATTTTTCGTGATTATTCAAGTTAGAATTATTATTCAAGTTAGAATTATTAGATTAATCTTAATTATGATTTTTTTTATTTCAGTTTTGATTTATTGTTTTTGAATATTTTATTATAAAAATTAATTGACAATTAATTTTTTCTTTTCAATTTTATAGTTGCACGGTTTTCATATTTATAATGTTAAGAAAAGAATGTGAATGATGGTTAATTTTTTTTATAGACCTCTTTGAATGATTTGACTTTATCTATTTATATATTTTTTGATATTTTTGATTTATTATTAATATTTGGCACTTACTTGTTTTTGTCTCTTTAATGAATTCATTATTCTTTTGTCAATAAAAATTATTAAAAAACTACTTTTCTCATCATTTTTTATTTGATTATTAAGTATTTCATTTGTAATGAGTATGGAGAGAGAATACTCTTCACTTATTTTTATTTACAGGTTTATTCTTTATATATATATATATATATGTGTGTGTGTGTGTGTGTGTTTGTGATTTAATGCATAATTGAACCAATTTGAAATTATTTGAACTTACATTGGGTTTTCAACTCAAAATTCATGCATATATAATAAATTTTTTATTCTTTCTTTTTCACACATATACAGTAAATTTTTAGTTCTTTTTTTCTGCAAACATATATAATAAATCTTTGGTTTAACATATATTTTATAAGTATTATTTTCTTAAATATCATTTGGATATATGTACATGTAAATTTTATATTTGCATTAAAAATAATATTTTTATATAAAATTATGTAAAAGATAACCCGTGCAGAACACGAGCAACAAAGTAATTCAAACATAATATTAGAAATTATGATATGTTAATTAAAATAATATTTAAATTTACAATACTATTATAATATTGTATGAATTTTTTTATTTAAAAATATATATATTTTGTATATAAACAAGATACATATATATATATATATAATATTTTCTCATACTATATATTGAATAAAAATTTTCTTGTCAGGTTACATTCATGATTTTTTGCCACCAACCCAATTTAGTGAGATCCTATCAATGTCATTCTCGGAAATTTCATAGTGGGTTGGGACCTGGTAATGATGATCACATTGTATTGGATGGATAAGATCATGATGAAAATTTCTATAAAATGGAGCACTTCCATTACTTATAAGCCTCGCCTTAGATTCTCCTAACTCCAATATCTCTGAAAATGGCAACCAACAATAGCATCTCATTCTCAGTTGATAAGAAAGATGTTGTTCTTGTTAAACCCTTCAAGCCAACACCCTCAGAAGTTCTGTCTCTCTCCACCATCGACAATGATCGCACCCTTGAGCTTATTTGCCATTCGGTTTTTGTGTATCTAGCAAATGACGATTTCTGTAGCGGAGACAGTCCTGATGAAGTTAAACCGAAACAAAAGGAGCTAAAAGACCCAGCTTGCATAATTGAGGAAGCTCTCTCCAAGGTGTTGTTTTATTACTATCCACTAGCAGGGAAGCTGAAGAGGCAGACTGATGGAAAACTGCGAATTACCTGCAATGCTGATGGCGTTCCTTTCTTAGTAGCATCTGCCAACTGCCATCTCTCTACTTTGAATTACTTAGATGGCATAGACGTTGTAACTGCTAAACAATTTGCCTTTGAGTTTCCATCCGAATCTGACGATGGTTATTACCCTCTAGTCTTGCAGGTGACGAAATTCTTATGTGGTGGATTCACAATTGCATTAAGCTTATCACACTCAGTTTGTGATGGCTTTGGTGCATCTCAATTCTTTCGAGCCTTGGCTGAGTTTGCAAGCGGAAAGAGTGAGCCCTCAGTTAAACCTGTGTGGGAGAGGCAGTTATTGGTAGCAAAACCAATCCAAGAAATCCCTCAGTTTATGGTGGATAACGACTCCTTAGCAACTTCACCGTATCTGCCAACCACTGACATAGTCCACCAGTGCTTTTATGTAACCGGGGAGAGTATAAAAAGACTAAAAAAGACTTTGATGAAAGAAAGTAAGGATGAATTTCTGAAAGAAAGTGTAACAAGTCTTGAGGTCCTAGCAGCCTATACCTGGAGAGCAAGATTTAGAGCTTTAAAATTGAATTCTGATGGAAATACAGTGTTGAGCATGGCTGTAGGGATAAGACGCACTCTCAATCCACCACTGCCTGAAGGATATTACGGGAATGCCTTTACGTCTGCAAGTACAGCAATAAATGGGAGGGAGCTCAATGAAGGATCACTCACAAAAGCTGTGAAACAAATCAAAGAGAGCAAAAAGCTTGCGTCTACTAATGATTATATCTGGAAATTGTTAAGCATTAACGAGAAGTTGAGAGAATTGAATATGAAGTTTGAAACAGCCAGTGGTGCAAACATGGTAATAACAGACTGGAGACAGTTGGGACTATTAGAAGATGTAGATTTTGGATGGAAAGGCGCTGTAAACTTGACACCACTTCCATGGGACATATTCGGATACGTGGATTTGGTTCTCATATTGCCTCCTTGCAAACTAGATCAGTCAATGAAAGGTGGTGTTAGAATGTTAGTTTCCCTACCCAAGGCTGCCATTGCCATGTTCAGGGAAGAAATGGATGCACTCAACCATGATGACGGCGTTGCTGGCGCTTGATTTTTTTTTTTTTTTATTGAATAAAGGATAGAGATGAAAATGGTGGGGTTCAAACTCGCGCCTTATATATATATTTTAAAACTGTTTAATCATTAAGCCAAGAATAATAGTGTCTTCTTATTGTATCACATTTCAGTGTATTTTAAATTATTGTGAATCGATTTGATTAATGGAAAGAATAATAAATTAATTACTAGTGTTTAGAAAAACTTTGATCTTATCCAAATTATTCAAGTAATCTTGTGAGTGGGCTTTGTCATGCTTGTATCGACAAGTTCAAAGACAGTAATTGACAAGCTTTCTATCTCCTATAATTTCTTTTTCCTGATTCTTTTTCGTTGAAATTTAGGCTTAGCTTTAGCTTGATTTTTTTTCCTTTGTCGTCGGAGTTACGTTACAAAACAATGACGCAAAATTATCACTCACCAAGTGTCATCTTCCCTTTCGAAATTTCAAGAAGAAAAAGGAAAAAATAAATTAGCTCACTCTAATTCATCAAATATTATCAAATTAATTTTTTTCGTTATAAAAAAGACTGCAATTTGATAATCTGAAAATAGAAAAAAAAAATTAATCTCTATACGTACTTAACATTATTTTTTGAAATTAAATATATGAATTAATTAAATTAAATTATAAATTTAATTAATTAATATTAATTAAATCACGGTATAATCTATTGTCTTGTTCCTTTTCCGATGTTCCTAATACTCAAAGAAACTACAAAAAAGGATAATCATCTCAACTTTAAAATTTGGGTTCAAGAGAACTTGGACTTTGGTCTTTTCTTTTTCACAAATTGGTCTGCTAAGGGTAATTAAAAATAAACGAGCATTGAAAAATTTTGTAGTTTAAATGTCAACATTTAAGGACCATAAAATATAAGATAATTAAATACTTAACCGTTGTCTACTTACCTTATAGTTCGTACATATCTAGCTTGTTGGTGAAACTAACGACTATTGACCTATTGTTAGTTATCTGTTTTAGCAAGGAAATTAAATATAAAGCTCTAAAATCTAATTAGTCAAGGCATACTTATATATATTTTTTTACAAAAGAAAATAGTAACATGAGATTAATATTTTATTTGGTAAAAAAAATAAAAAGAAGTGAAGATAAAAAATTTATTAATGTAATGGTTAAAACTCATAATAGTTTTTTTTTTATTTTGTAGTTTAACCATTAATAAATTTTTTATCTTCATTTTTATTTTTCACATATGTAGAAATTTTAATTTTAATTTTTATCTAATATTACTTTTTAAATATGATTGTATAAAAAAGCAAATTAAACATCCTATTCATATCTTTGAAATGGTTTTTTTTTCCCATCCTTTAATTCAAAATCAAAATAAAGTGGATTCAACAAAGGGAAAGATTCTTTCTTACAGTTATGATACTTATAGTTATATGTTTTTAAAGGAAAATGAAATTCTTGTTTTTAAATAAACATTAAATTCTTTATTTAATCTAAATTAAAATTGAAAAAAAGTGGTAAAACCTCGTCACGTGCGTCTAACTCAAGGTAAGTGTGAAACATGATATAAATGGAAAACAGTTGTCGATCAAGTAATGGGTCATACTAATAGGGGTATAAATGATACATTAATACTCGCAAATTATTAGGGTTTCGATTCGAATAAAATTTGAATTCGGTTCGATTATTATCGAGTTAAGCTCAAGATCGAGTTGCTCGATTCATCGATTGAACCAAGTTCGAGTATTTTTATATCTGACTGGAGTAGCTCGTAAACTTAATCGAGCTTTTATATTTAAATATATTTTTATTATTTTAATTAATAAAATATCTCGAATTCGAGTTCAAGCTCGAGCACAAATAATCAAACTCTTGTCGAGTATATGAATTGAACTTATTTTTATATATTAATCGAGCTTAATCAAGCGAGCTCGAGTAACTCGATTTCGATCACGAATCAAATTCGAGCTAGGAAAATGAAACTCAATCGAGTTCGAGTTGAGTATCAAGCCTCGAGTTGAGAGTCGAGCTCGAGCTTAAACTTCTCTCTATATCAGTTCGACTCAGCTCAATTACACCTTTACGTAGTAGTAGTCCACAGATTGAGTTGTTGTGTTGACGCTTTGGTAAGTCTTATTCTATTCTCTTCAACCTTGATTTTCCACACACAAAAAGAATGACATATTTTATGATTTTGGCTCAAATTTCTTCCTTCTTTAGAAAAAAAAACAATTATATTTATATATTATATAAATGGAAGTGGATGAGGGCTTTCCTATCCTTTAGTTTGTTGTTCATCCTCATGTTGAGATCGTTGGCAACTTTGATTTTCGGTGAATTGGATCCTCACTCCCCACTCCCCACTGCCACCAATAACAATGAGAGACAATGGCATGGCCACTTTAAATATAATTTCGTGGACTTTGGTGCTCTTCCTTCTGATGCTTAGATTTCATTGTATTTTTTATGCAATACAATTAAATTTATTATATTATCAATTAAATTTAAATATCAAATTTAGTGAAATTTATTCAATATAAATTTTTTGTTAAATTTTTTTCATTCATAATTATAGTAATAGTTTTCACTTACAGCTATAATAATTTTTATTATCATTTTTAATTTTACTACTTATTCAAATGTAAACCTAATCTTCATTCTCACATAATGATAATTTTTTTGACTTATTTTTAAGTCTACATTTAAAAGTATCATAACGTATAGATCCGTGGACCTACCGCTAGACATGAATAAAAGGGAGTCACCACCAATCTTTTTTATTTAGGTATGATTGGTCACCTAAAACATATTCTGATATGTGAAAATATATATTAAGTTCAGGAGTCGGTTACACATAGGAAATGTTGTAGCATCCCCACAATGATTATCTAAAAGTTGGTACTAGTTTGATTTCAATTATCCAAGCCTTTATCATTTTTATGATTTATCAAATAATTTAATATTAAAAATTAATCTTAAAATAGTCCGAATAGTTTGGTAGCAATTTAAGATAATTTTTTCAGCTCAAGAGTATTCATAGAGACTAATGTCCTATTCTGAAGAGGCTCCGTCGTTAGATTTATTGATTTATTTTATTGTAAAAAAATTAGTAAAGTCTCCAAATAATTGGTAGGACTTACTTTAAAGCAATTTTATAATAGTTTAAAGGATAAAAATTACTTTTGTTTACTTAACAAGACCTTTTTTTTTATATTAAAAAGATTTTTTTTTATTATTTTGAAAACTTTATTTACAAAGATTTTTATTATTTGAAAAGATTTTGTTTTAAAATTATTTTTCTTTCTTTCAGAAACAAAATGGCAGTAATAACCCTTCTTCTTCTTTTTTTATTAAAGCCAAAATAATAATATAAAAAAAATAAAATAGGTTAAAATAAAATAAAATCAAAAAATAAAAAAAAAATAGATATGATCGGGTCGGGTCAGAACCAAGGTTAATGGATGGATTTTCATCAGGTCACCCGCGGGTCAAGGTTTTCCAAAACAGCGTCATTCTAGGTCGATATAAATAATACTTTTCAACATTTTTCTTCAGATGCCTTCTGCTCCCTCTCTTTTTACCCTAGTTTTTCTCTACTTTCTTTCTAAAACTCCCAAGAAATTCATCGAAAACTTCAATCAAAAATTGGGAATTCTACTAGTTTTTGGAAAAGTCATTAAAATATTCAATCGAAAACTGAAAATTCCATTGGTTTCTACAAAACTAGCTGAAACTTGATCAAAAAATTCAACCGATCATCAAAAACTTCATGTAAAAACTCATGTTCTTAAAAAAACCCAGAAAAACCTAGATTTCTTCGAACCTTCCCCAGATTTCTCCAAATTTTGCCTAGAATACTCCCAGAACCTCTAAGAATCCTAATTCCAACTCCAACAACCTAAAATCAAGCCTAAAACTCCAAATTGAACCCGAAATCCCAAAATTTTTAGAATATCCCTACTGTCCAAAATTTTCCAAGCTTTTTTAAAAAATTTTTGTGTCTTCCCTTTGTAAAATTAGTTTAATTTATAGGCAGTCTTAGAAACGATTTTAGGAAATGGGCAGAATCAATCACAGGCTTGAATCCCGTGATTGCATTATGTCTAGCGTGATTTTTGGGTCCAAACTTCAGCAATTCGATTTATAATTAAAACTTTGACCAAGGATCATGATTCTAATTCTCTTTGCGATCATCCACATGCAAATTCAATCAAAAAGTAAAGCAAAAAAAAAAAAAAAGAACACAAAAAAACAAAACCAAAATAATAATAATAATAATAATGATAATGATAATATTAATATAATAATAACAACTTAAACAAAAACTATCTAATTGGACTCGGGCAAGGATGGGCCTAATTGGGCCTAGACCCAAATGGGCCTAATTGGGCCCAAACATAAATGAATGTCTACAACTACCCCTCTTTGCATATCTTTATTAGACATGGATATTGCAAAGACCTAGATACCCACTTTATTCGAGTTGAATCAAGAACGATCTTCGAATCTAAAAAATGACCTAGACTAAACCAATATCAGGTGATTAGGACTAAACCACGAGTCAAGATGGAACGACCAAGATCGAGTCAAAGTCAAAAATAAATGATCGAGATAAAATCATGAATCATAAAAAATGATCTAGATTAAGCTAAGATCAGATGATCGAGACGAAATCACGAGTCAAAATAAACGACTACGATTGAATCGAGATTGAAAGTAAATGATCGAGATGAAACCACAAATCATAAGAAATGATCTAGACTAAGCCAAGATCAATTGACTGGGATGAAATCATGAGTCAAAATAAAGCGACTAGGATCGAGTCGATGTTAAAAATAAATTATTAGGATGAAACCACGAATCATAAGAAATGATCTAGATTGAGCCAAGATCAAGTGACCAAAATGAAATCACGAGTCAAAATAAAACGACCAGAACCAAGTTGAGGTCGAAAATAAATGATCGAGATAAAACTATGAATCATAAGAAATTATCTAGACTGAAGCAAGATCAATTGACTGAGACGAAACCACGAGTCAAAATAAAGTGACCAAGACTAAGTCAAGGTTGAAAATAAATGATTAGGATAAAATCATAAATCATAAAAAATGATCTGGACTGAGCCAAGGTCACTTGACTGAGACAAAGTCATGAGTCAAAATGAAAGCAATCAGGACTCAGTCGACATCGAAAATAAATGATTAGAATGAAACCATGAATCATAAGAAATGATATGGACTGAGCCAATATCAAGTGACTGAGATGAAACCACTAGTCAAAATAAAACGATCAGGACCTAGTCGAGGTCAAAAATAAATAATCGAGATGAAACCATGAATCATAAAAATGTTTTGGGTTGAGCTAAGATCAGATGAGTGGATAATGCATGTCTTATCTAGAATGCAAATGAAACATCAATTGTGGTACTAAGGCTTCTTCATTCTCCTTTCTGCACACCTTTGGCAAAGAAACCATTTTTCATTACCCTGAATATTTATGTTCACTACACATTTTAGCAAAGAAACCATATTTCATTAACTTGAATGCACATAT